CTCGTTGCCGTTTTTCCACAAGTTTTGCTAGGTACCTCTCCAATGTCTGATTAAATCTTTCTACCATTCCATCAGATTGTGGGTGGTAAGAAGTTGTTCGTGTTTTCTGAGTACCCATAACTCGGCATGTTTCCTGGAATATTTGAGACTCAAAATTCCTTCCTTGATCGCTGTGAATCTCTAAAGGTACTCCAAAACGACAGAAGACTTCATGAACTAGTTTATCTGCAACGGTTGAAGCTTCTTGATTTGGAATGGCGAAGACTTCTGGCCACTTAGTGAAGTAATCCATCACTACCATGAAATACTTGATACCACTTTCAGTTTCTGGAAACGGCTCCGCAACGTCAATGGTTATCCTCTCCCATGGTGCACCAACATTGTACAATTTCAATGCGCCTCTACTACGAATCTGAGGTCCCTTTACAGCCGCACAACTTGTACATTTGCGGCACCAGTCCTCGACATCGTCACGACAGTGGACCCAGTAAAACCGTTCTCGGATCTTCAGGAGAGTTCGCTTAACTCCCAGGTGGCCTCCTGAACAACCACTATGGTACAGCTGTAGGACATCCGGTACTTTAGCCTTAGGGACAACCATTTGCAAATGACACCTGTCTCCCCGACCATTTTCCCATGTACGGCACAGGACTCCATCCTGAATCAGCAAGCTGTCCCATTGGGCCCAATAGCTTTTCGTGGTCGAACTCATTGCTGAGACGTCGCTCCACTTGGGCTTAGGAGCACTGGCCTTCATCCATTCCAGAATCGGCTTAATGTCCGAATCTTCCTGCTGTGCATGTTGTAGGCTGTCCTTCCATTCATTGCTGAGCTGGTCTGTCCTGAATATCCTCGCAGATACCACTTCTTTACCCTCTTGTCTAGTACAATGCTTGCAATCTTCAGGGCAAGGTCTTCTTGATAATGCATCTGCATTGCCATGAGATTTCCCGCTGCGATGTTCGATCACAAAATCGTATTCCTGTAGTAGTTCAATCCATCTCGCAACTTGTCCTTCAGGATTTTTGAACTGCAATAGCCATTTCAGTGCAGCATGGTCAGTTCGTAATTAGAATTTCCGCCCCAGGAGATATTTGCTAAAATGCTGCAAGGACTTTACCACAGCAAGCAATTCCCGTCTTGTGACACAATAGTTCCTTTCCGGCTTTGACAACGACTTGCTGAAGTACGCTATCACAATCTCTTGATCACCATTCCGTTGAGACAACACACCGCCAAGTCCTATATCACTTGCGTCTGTGTCAACTATGAATTCCTTGCCCGCATCAGGGTACCCCAAAAGGCCAGGTTTTGCACAGACGGTTCTTGAGCTCCTGGAATGCAATATCGCAACTTTCATCCCAGCAGAAATGTCGCTTCTCCTCGGTTAGCTTGTGCAGAGGTTTGGCTATATCTGCAAAGTTCTTCACAAATCGCCGATAATAAGAGCACAAACCCAAAAATGCTCTAACCTGTGTCTTGTCTTTTGGGACCGGCCACTCCTTGACAGCAGCAATTTTCTCTGGATCCGTGCGGATACCTTCTTCCGACACTACATACCCCAAAAAACAAACTTGCCGTTTGAATAGTGAGCACTTCTTTGGACTCAACTTGAGGTTGGCACTCTGGATCTTCATGAGCACGCGTTCCAGGTTTTGAAGGTGTTCCTCAAACGTACGGCCTACGATGATGATGTCATCCAAATAGACCAGACAAGCATCTCCAATTAGCCCGGTAAGTACAAGCTCCATCAACCTTTCAAATGTTGCTGGAGCATTGCACAATCCAAACGGCATGACTTTGAATTGCCACAGACCCTTTCCTGTGGAGAATGCAGTTTTCTCCTTGTCCTTAGGGTCAATTTCAACCTGCCAGTAGCCACTTTTCAGATCTAGCGTACTAAACCACTTTACGCCTGTAAGCATGTCCAGCGTGTCATCAATTCTTGGCAAGGGATAGCTGTCCTTCTTTGTAACGTCGTTCAGGCGGCGATAGTCAACACAAAACCGCATGCTGCCGTCCTTCTTCTTTACCAGCACCACAGGTGAACACCATGGACTAGATGAAGGTTCAATAACACCATCCTTCACCATTCCCTCAATCATGGTTTCCACTTCCTTTTCACGTGCTACAGGCAATCTTCTTGGCCGCTGACGAATAGGCAATTCTTGTCCTGTGTTTATTTTGTGTTGAACTAAGCCAGTCTTTCCTATGTCAGCTTCGTTTGACGAGAAAACATTGGCGTACTTGAGTAACAACTTCTTCGCCTTGACCATTTCATTCGGGGAAAGAACGCTGCGACAGTCTTCTAAAAGTGTGGTCACTATCGTTTGTCCATCCTTGCTGGTGGTCCCGGTCGATAGATATTCGCATCGACGCAACCAATCCACTTCCTCACTAGTACCAACCAATGTGCCTTTTTCTATAATCTGTTCCTGATCACAAAGGTTCAACACACGTACTCCTGAAATGTCGGTGGTTCTGACCAAGGTTCGAGCCACTTTCCATGGAAGGTCATTGTCTACCCTTTCCACGAGTACACAACGATGAGCTTGCCCAGGACTCCGAGGAAGACTAACCGGCACAATCGTTTCCGATCTCGGCGGAAGAACAATCTTCTTAAGGCTGTACACATTCCCTGGTAACGCCCCTTCCACGAAAAGTTCTTCTTGTCCACATTTCAAAACACCTTGCTTAACGTCGATCTCACAACAATTCTTCCTCATAAAGTCTAGGCCCAGGATGCAGTCGTCCATTATATCAGCCACGATGACATTATGCAGGTAGATCATGTTGCCTAGCTTCAACTCCATCTCCTTCTCTCCACGGACGGGTATGCGCTGACCGGTGGCTGTCACCAAATTAATGCGTTCTCGGTTGTATGCGGAGTCCCCAAGGAACCGACTTATAAGTTGGGAACTGACAACCGTGCGAGAGGCTCCAGTGTCTATGGTCAGTTTACACGGCGTTCCGTTGACTTCGCCCTTGATGATTAGGCTGTTCCCATCATGGGTTTGTGAGATCGAAATCCTTGGGGCTCTTTTAACATCAGCCAGCACCCGCCCCGCAGTCCTGGCTTTTACTCGTTTCCCTGCTGCTGCTGGGCGGTGCTATTATCCGCACTACCCTCTCGAGATCGATCACCTTCCCTTTCTACAGTTCGTTTAGGGCAGCTGGATCGAAGATGACCCCTTTCCCCACAGCCGTAGCACCTAGGGTTGTAGCCCTTATTGCGGTCCTGAACTGTAGCTGCTGCAACCTCCCTGACGCGGTGGGAACGATGATCCTGCCGCACGGCTTCCACCTCCAGTGCATGGGTCAAGGCGTCCTTAAGCGTCTCGTGGTGCCCGAGCCTCACAGCAGCTCTGACTTCAAGGTCGCGGATGCCGTCGATGAAAGTCTGCACCAGGTTCCCTACAATGAGCACAGGTACAGACTGGTACGCTTTTCGAACCAGCTTCTCCACCTCAAGGGCCCACTGCTGCAGGTTTTCGTTACTGCGTTGCACGCGATCTTTGAGCTGCGCACGAAAGACGTGTTCCAGGTGAGCATCGCCATATCTCGCCTCCAATGCCTCAAGGAGCTGCTCGTAAGTCACTTCCTTACCGAGCGCTTCCAAAACAGTTAAGGCCTGGTCGCGTAGGCCTAGGGTGAGAGCAGTCATGGCCTGACTTTTATTCCAGCCGTTCGCTTTCATGACAGCCTCGAACTGGATTTTGTAGGCCGACCAGGAAGAACTCCCGTCGAACGGCGGCACTTTGAATCCACGTAGCGAAGGTGTTGTAGCTACCACGGGAGCTGTGATTCCATCCCCAAGTTTGAGGTCGTCCAGCGTTTTCTTCACATCAGCCATCACGTTGTCAACCCGATTGTTCACTTGGTCGATTCGGGTTTCAGCTTCCGACAGGCGGTTGTCATGTTGAGCAACCCTATCCTTCACCTCCTTTATCTCTTTCCCGAAGGTAGCGTGAAGGTCCTTCCTGAGGAGCATCTGTTCTTCCATACCGCGCTGCAGCTGCTCTTCCAGGCGACGGGTCTGTTCCTCCTGTCGGCGGGCCTGTTCCTCCTGTCGGCGGGCCTGTTCCTCCTGTCGGCGAGCCTGATCCTGCAGCATCATCATCAGAGCACCTAAATCAGGTGCTGCAGATGCAGGAGCTGCTGACGGGCCAGCCTCCGTGGTTAGCAACTGGCCCTCCGACGTTTGCGGCGTTGCATTACCAAATCGTCTCTGGTCCGTCTCCTGTTGGCGTTGACTTCGGGTACGGATACCCTCCGTGTCGTCTTTAGGTAAAATCGGCATATTTGATCCCACTTCTGACACCAATTGTTACGAACTTGGGGTTCGAGACAATTAAAAACTGCCGATTAAATTACCAAAATTGACACTTTAATTACGGATACTAATTACAATCTAAAAACACACTAATAATAAAACACAGTTCGCCGTTATTTCGCTTCGAAGTATTCTCTTGTATCGCCAATTCAATACTGCCCCGGTCATGGTCTATACCGGCCTTATATAGGGCCTCAGATAGTTTCCAGAACCTTCTACTGTAGCGACATCTAGAATGTTCGAGTACATATCGGTCCCGAAATTTCTGGAAGGATCTCGACTCTCCTAGTTCTGCTACTCGACACTAGAGGGCGCGCAACACTTTCATTTACTCGACACTAGGGGGCGCTAGTGTAACTAGTTTTGCCATGTACAAGACATTAATAGTGGCGCGCAACAATATTATAGATGAACGAAACGATACCATAGACATTATTTTAAAGCGCCCTCTGTAAAGTAGGAATCACCAAATATTTAAAATTTTCGGTTTGTTGTGAAATGTCAAAGGTGCAACCGTTGAGGAGTGTAAACAATTTGTGAGTGAAGATTTTACTCAAAATTAACTTTTTAAAGTGCTTGAAATTAAAATAGAAAGTTAAAGAGAGAGATAATAACGTTATGTCAGCAGTGTGACTTGAGGGTTATTGTTTAGTTCGATTTTGTAAATATGGATCCTTTTACTCAGGTAGGTTCTTGTATTTGAATAACGACCTTTGATACATAGTTAATAAATTTTCACTTGGAGATTTATTCGTTGTCTTTATAACTGAAATTTGCTTTTAGCGTATGTTAGAAAGGGCGCGGGCAAGACAGGAGAAAATTGACCAAAAACTGGCAAATTCTGGACAGGCTGTGCCAAAACGGAAGCCTTTAGCTGAGAACGTTGGAATCGTTAAGCCTCAATCTTCCCCAAGTAAATCGCCTATTAAACCTTCAAGGGATTCTGTGCTATCACCAAAAAAATCAGCCAGAGATTCGTTAAAAAATGATTTACAGAGAAAAAGTATACAAAAGACTGATCTTGTAGTTGCTTCGCCACAGAAGCGTAACGATGTAGTGGTAACGAAAAAGGAGTTCAAAAGCCCTAACAGGGGAAGCTTAAACAGACGCAACTCTGATGTATCTGTGGAGATTAACATTTCACACAGAAATGATATACAAATAGAAGTGCAAGTGGAGGAAAGGGAGATTCCTATCAGTATAGTCTATGATCCAAACATGGAAAAAGGCAGTAGTGTGACTATTAAAGAAATTGAAGGTAAGATGATAATTTTATTTAATTTGAACAAACATTTTATGATAACAACCAATGATTAAGAAAGGTCTCACATGGTAACTCGTACCCGTAAGCAAAGTGTAGGGTGGCTGCCTGCTATGGTAGTGATGACCTGATAAGACATTCAAGTAGATGAAAACATTATTAGGTGATAGGACTCAATGCAGGTAGTCTGGGACTCTGCTTTATGACATTCGCTTTGGGAGCCCTATGTTCATCAGTGGATATGTAAAGGGATATAATAATGATGATGTATAATTATTTATCTGTGTAATAATAATGTCCTTCATTGGAAGTAAGCTATCTATCCAGGACAGGATTATAGTGCATGCTTATGTGTGCAAGCATGGGCCCACTCTATTTTCTCACTCTTTTAGTCCAATGCAATGGTAATCTGACATGACCGATAGGGCTGAAACACTGTCAAATGCCTGATTCTAGGCTACTCATAACTAATTTTTGCCTGACCTGGGAAAGAACAGGCAGTCTATCTGTGTAACTGTGTGGTGTGTTATGAGAGGCCTTAAACCAGCAGTAATCAGCTTCCTGATGGTATTGGCTATCTATTAAGTTACCAATATTATAATAGATATTAAGTAAAGGTTACTTCAATTTATAACTCAATCAACAATTATTTTAGTGTATTTTATAATTTATTAGTCTGGGTTATGTTGTGAATTACTCCTTGTCTCTACACTGCATTTTGTCAATATAACTGGCAAACATTTTTATGAGCACTTTTTTACATGTTAACTTAACTCTATCAATTTCGTTGAATGTTTCTAACGATGTACCAACAAAGTTTTCTAAAATACCTGTAGATCTTTACAAGTAATATTTTAGGTATTTGATAACAGAAAAACCACCCCTGCCTATGTATGTCATAAGAAGCAACTTAGAGAAAGGTCTGTAAGACTTTGTGGTCTTCGATATAAACTATCTTATATTATGTACCAGATATAAAATCACCTAGAGCAGCAAAGGGAAAAGTGCAACATGTCTGGTACTGTATTTGCCTAATTTGCAAGTCTTTCCCAATATGGATGAAGCTTTTATCTAGCATTGGACTGTTTTATGGGCTGATATGAATGAGGCAATTAAATCAACTTTAAACATTGCCATAACTTTCTTTAGTAGTGTTGTATTGTTTCATTTAGTTCTTGTAACTATCATATTTTCAACTTCCCCTTAATATGATTGAGGAGATCAAAAACTTTATATTAAAAGGGCAATGGATACCCCATTTGTCATACTTGTGTTCAAGTGCTGATGTGGAAGCTGGTCTACTCGAGCTTGCTATGCACTGATGAACTCTAAATATAAATGTTTTTTTTTTCTTAAGATGTCGTAGAATATGCTAAACTTTGTTTTATAATATTATTAACTTAAAAAAAAATTAAAAAGAGGATATTAGCAGAATTTCGATCTGTGTTTCTTTAGTCAAGGAACCTCATTTTCAAAATGGTTGAAGATTAAGATTTCATATATTTATAAGAACACTACACATTGGATAAAACTATTTTTATGGATTTTATCACGTTTCATTTACTTATTTTTGATTCTGCGCATTTCAATTGTTCAATTGTTGTAATCATATTCTAGATGGTCGCCAACATTACATCAGATTTGATAGACCACAAATCCTCACAAAGGAATATCAATTCCTACCAAGGATGAAACGTGAAGCTATTGAAATTACAAAGCATCCTAATTCCAATAGAGAAAGCGACTTACTTGGGATCTTGTAATTAATTTTTTAATTTATTATTAAACCAATATTATATTTTTGTTAAAACTACTACTACTACTACTACCTATATAATTATTTATTTAGATTCATACATTCTCTATACTATTTGTGTAGATACCACCCTATTACTTACTTCTGCCACCAAATATGTGAACACTAAATGATTTGCAAAACTCATAAATAAACTAATTTATAATTAGATTAATATGTTTACTGCTTTTCAAAGTATTTACCATTATATTTTAAGCACTTCATTCAATCATAGCATTTTTGGGAAAACATATTGATGTTGAGCAGTGTCATTTTGTGGAGAGAGTGAACTTACAAAGTTATAAAAAATCATTACAATCATCATTATATGTGGTAGAGCCATGCTGCAGCTATATTAGCAGTATAGTTGTAGCACGAATGGGTCGGCTCGTGAGAGGACCACGCTCTCACAGAATACCAGCGTAAAATAGCAGCTTAACACAGCTGTGTTTCGTATGGCGAGTGTAGAGAACCAAAGACCCTATTTACTGGAAAAAAGGCATTCCATCTTAGTCCTCAAGAGTGATAACGCATCTGCATTTTGATTCGCAAATGGGGATAGATGTAGATGTCTATGGGCCACAACAGCCACTAACCATCAGCTGGACTGTGTGCTTGCTTGTAACCCAATAATATAAAAAAAAGGAATTTCAACTTGTGATAAAAAATAATGGGGGTCATTGTAGAAGCGTGCTCGTCGCGACCCCTGCCAGCCCTTTTCAGGGCTGCAATTCTACTCAGCTGCGCACCCATCTCAACGAGGGTTAGGGCGTCCCCCCAAGGCGACGCACACCAGCTCGTCCCCGTTGGTGTGGAATGCAGCGCGCAAAGCGGCGATGGGGACCGCCACCCGTCACGCACAGCCCGACACGGCGGAAGGTGGAGGACGGAGTGCAGAGTTGGCACGTGGAATGTTAGAGGAGGCATGAGAGATAAGACGAATGAGTTGATCGAAATAATGAAAGAAAGAGAATTAGATGTCGTGTGTATGTCGGAGACCAAACGGAAGGGCAGTGGTACTGAAGAGCTCCCTGGCGGGGCGTTAGCTCTATGGTCCGGAGTCCCGGAGAGCGAGAACGCCTGCCAGGGAGTGGGGGTGCTGCTGTCTTCTCGGTTGGTCGATGTTTTGACTGAATATAAGTTTGTGAACTCAAGACTTCTCTGGGTTCGCTTTAAATTGGGACTGACGAAGTTATTCCTTTTGGCTGTTTATGCGCCGGTGGCTTCGTCGTCCAGGGCTGAGCTGGAGGAGTTTTGGGAGAATGTAAGAGAAGTTCTAGATTTGGCTAGAGGAAACGAAAGGATTGTTGTATGTGGTGATTTGAATGGATGGGTTGGTACCGCTCGACCAGGGTACGAGTCGGTACTTGGAAAGTTTGGCGATAAAAGGGTTAATGATGCTGGCAAGCTTATACTGGCGGTATGCAAGGAAAAGGGTCTTCTTGTGACAAACACTATGTTTAATCACAAGAAAATCCATATGTATACTAGAGAAAGAAAGAATGAGAGAAGTATGATCGATTTGTTCCTGGTGGATGACCGACTGCGAAAACAGGTTATGGATACGCGAGTGTTCAGGGGTGCTGACCTGGGAACGGATCACTATCTAGTGATTACTAGATTTAGGGGTCTGTTCGCGGGTTGGCGCTACCGGACGACAGTGACAGAACCACAGTCGGTCTGTCGCATCCGAAGCTGGAAGCTTCAGGAAGCGGATACTAGGGACAAATATCATGCGAGGGTAGCCGAAAAGCTTGACACCATCGATGGCAGAAACGAATGTGTAGAAAGAACATGGCAGAACCTTAGGGATGGAATGGTAAGTGCAGCGGAAGAAGTGTGTGGAACAATAAAAAGAGGCAGTAGTAAAAGAAGAGATGCATGGTGGAATGATGAAGTGAAAGAAGCTGTAAAGAAGAAGAAGAAAGCATGGTTAGACTACTTGGCCTCTAGTAATGATAAGGATATGAGAGAGAAGATGAAAGAAAGATATAAGCTGCAGAAAGTTCACACGAAAGCATTGATTGAGGAAGTGCGTGAAAGGTGTAGAATGGAAGCGGATGAAAGGTTGTCGCACAACTTTAAGGAGAACTCCAAACTCTTCTGGAAAGAGGTTGGAAGGACCCGAAGTGGTGCGACGGCCTTAAGAATGAACAAAGTGCTTTCGAGAACTAATGACGTCCTCTCAGAAAAATCGGACGTCATGCAGCGATGGAGCGAATTTTATAGAGAAATGTATGCGTGTGATGATCTTAGTGAGGGATCCGGGGATGACGCCGTGACTGGCACGCCAGACCCGGACCTCGATGACACTGAGGTCATCAGTATGAAAGAGATTGAACGTGCGATTCGAAGTTTGAAATGTGGTAAGGCTGCGGGACTAGACAGAGTTACTGCTGAAATGGTCAAGTATGGTGGGCCTCGCGTCTGGGACAGCTTTCATCTGCTGTGCAATTTGTGCTGGCGGACGGGGGATGTCCCGGATGATTGGCGATCCGCAGTCATTGTGCCTTTATATAAAGGTAAAGGTTCACATTTTGATTGCGGGTGCTATCGGGCGATCAGCTTGACCAGTTTAGCAAGTAAAGTTTACTCGAAGGTTTTGACACGTAGAATGCAAGAGAAATCGGAAAGATTTCTATGGGAGGCACAATGCGGATTTAGACCTGGAAGAGGATGCACGGATCAAATGTTTTCTCTCCGTATGATCACGGAAAAGCTTCTGGCTGTTAACCAGAAGATTTTCTGTGCTTTTGTGGATCTTGAGAAAGCATTTGATAAGGTTGTAAGGAAGAAAATGTGGGAACTGTTGCCGGGGTATGGTGTGGATGGCCGATTGCTAAGGGCTGTGCAGTCTCTTTACTGTGACTGTAAAGCCTGTGTGCGGGTAGGGCATGACCTGTCACCCATGTTTAGCGTCCAAACGGGCGTAAAACAGGGTTGTGTCATGTCTTCCTGGCTGTTCATACTGTATCTCGACAGCTGTTTACAAAAGCTGAAAGATAGCTGTTTGGGTGTGAAATTGGGTGACATAAAAGTAAATTGTCTGCTGTATGCTGATGATGCAGTGCTTATTGCACCATCAGAGGCAGAACTGCAGGCATTAGTCACGTGTATGAAAGAGGAATGTGAAATTAAAGGTCTCCGTTTGAATGCTAATAAAACTAAGGTTCTGGTATTTGAAAGGGACGAAGAGAGAACG